GGTCAAAATGATGAGATTATATTTGTTTTTGGTGTTTTCCTTCCCTTTATCTTATAATTGTTTGCTAACCTGTTTAGAGAGCTGTAATTTTCTGATTTTGTCTACCTATTTATATCCTTGCTCAAGGCTTTGTAACTCCTTTCTTTTCCTTTTTATTTTAAAGAGTGGCACCTGAGTTGACAACTGTTGCCAATCTTCTTTTTTTTTTTTCCTGCTTTTTCTCCCCAAATCCCCCCAGTACATAGTTGTGTATTTTTACTTGTAGGTCCTTCTGGTTGTGGCATGTGGGACGCTGCCTCAGCATGGCCTGATGAGCGGTACCATGTCCACACCCAGGATGCAAACCAGCGAAACCCTGGGCCCCCAAAGCAGAGCATGCGAACTTAACCACTTGGCCACAGGGCTGGCCCACTCCTTTCTTTTTTTTTTTCAGGTATGAGTGCCTTCTTGAGGAGTTTTTGTGTGTGTGGGGGAGTCTTGTGGCGAGGAACTCCTTTAGCTTTTGTTTATTTGGGAATGTTTTTATTTCTCCATCATATCCGAAGGATATTTTTGCTGGATACGCTATTCTTGGCTGAAAGTTTTGCCTTTCAGAATTTTGAATATATCATTCCACTCTCCCCTAGCCTGTAAGATTTCTGCTGAGAAATGCACTGAAAGCCTAACAGGGATTCCTTTGTAAGGTACTTTCTTCTGCCTGACTTCCCTTAATAATTTTTCTTTGTCGTTGACTTTTGCCAGCTTTACTAATATATGTGTTTGAGAAGGTCTGTTTAACTGAATGTAGTTAGGAGATCTGCTAGCTTCTTTCACTTGTTTTTCCGGCCTCTTCCCCAGGTTTGGGAAGTTCTCAGCTATTATTTCTTTCAACAAGCTTTCTGCTGCATTCTCCCTGTCTTCTCCCTCTGGAATACCTATAACCCTTATGTTGCATTTCCTAATTGAGTCAGATATTTCTCGGAGAATTGCTTCGTTTCTTTTTAGTCTTAGTTCTTTCTCCTCTTCCACGTGAAGCATTTCTATGTTTCTGTCCTCTAAATTGCTAATTCTGTCCTCTGTAATATCAGCTCTATTGTTTCAGGAGTCCAGATTTTTCTTTATCTGATCGATTGTGTTTTCATCTCCAACATTTCTGATTGGCTTTTCTTTATAGTTCCAATCTCTTTTGTGAAGAAGCTCCTGATTTCATTGAACTGTCTATCTATATTTGGTTGTAACTTGAGTATTTTTGATAGCTATTTTGAATTTTCTGACATTTAGATTATAAATTTCTGTGCCTTCAGGATTGTTTTCTGGGTGCTTGTCATTTTCCTTCTGGTCTGGAGTTTTAATATATTTTTTCATACTGTTTGAGGTATGGATTTGTGCCTCTGCATAGTGACATTATCTCGTTGCAGCTTCCACCGGCCGCCACCGGGTGGGGGTCAAGAACTGTGTTTTCTGAGCCCACCGTGATCTGTGCCTCACTTGCTCACAGCTGCTGCTCTTCTCTCTGTGCGGGCTCTGGCCATCCAGCTGAGCTGGGGCACCAGGCAGGGCGAGAGGCACTTTCTTTCACCTGTGCGATCCTCGGGACATTCTTGCTCTGCCCTTGCTGTCTGCTCTCCTGGGGCGTTGGCTTGATGAAGTCACCCCCACAGTAGCTTAGTCTCCTCTGTGTGGGGCTTTCCCAAGGGCTGTGAGGGACTTGGAGAGAGAAGGTTGTTTTGTGGAGGGCCGCCCCTCCCTCCTCTGCTCTCTGAGCCATTTCATCCAGACCCTGGATCCTGCCACTGGGGGAGGGAGAGGAGATCCCCTTGCCTCCTTCCACTTCCTCTGGGGGTCCAGCACCTCCACCTTCAGACGTATGGCTGCGTGGGTCTCTCAGACATCTTTTGTGTTGCGTGAATGTTCTGTTGGTATATGGATGTCCTTTTCTTTGTATCTTAGCGGGGAGAGTCTAAGGGAAGCGCTCACTCCCCCTTGATGCTGACATCACTCGATAATCGACTTTGACATTTTTGAGGACTCCAGGTTCCTGGTCTTGCAGGACGGCTCTCTTTGGATTTGTCTCATGTTTCCTCATGGTAGGTCTGAGTGCAGGTTATGAAATATAACAGATACATGAGAGCCTGTCAGTGCACAGCTGGCGACTTCTTGGGAGACCACAGGGCATGAGGGAGGGAGGATGTCCAGGGGCGAAAGGCTGTATTTCTGGAAGTAAGACTGGCTGCACTGCGCTGCCTTTTCCTAGGAGCGGAACCACCCTACTTCATTCATCAGGTCGGGGCGGGCAGAGTCTGAGGTGCCGTTCACTGTGGCTGCCGGGATCACGTGTTCCCTGGAGAGCCCTGGGCCGCCGGTCAAAGGCCTGTTACAACAAGACGTAGAGATGAGCATTTTTAGAAACCTTGCAGACAAGGGTGGGGTGTGTGGCAAAGCAGCAGACATTTTAGGAGAGGTTGAAATGTCTAAGTGTACTTTTATTTTTAGTGCTTTTTTGCATAGCGCATGTCCCTTTTTTAGGAGAGGAACATAACGTGTTAGATACAATGTAGCGTGCTCATAAAGTCATCGTGAATGGTATATTTAGAGTATGGGGAAATCGGGAAGAGGTATACTTATTCTGTGTTCGCTGGGCTCTTGCATCTCAGAGAAGTGACTGAGCACTTCCCATTTTCAGGAGTTACCGTGAAGGGCCACAGCGATGGGCCTGCCGCGGTCCCCCCGGTTTATCAGGGGTGGGGAGGCTGTGTGCCTGGTTTGCTGTTGGCTGGTTTGCATTTTCTGAGTCTGAAATCTCTAAGAAAGCAGCTTCCCTCCTCCTTTATTGCTGATCTTGCTTGAGACCCATGAAAGCTGCTCCCACTTCCTTACCCTGAGATGCGGCCATAAACACTGGAAAATTAAGGGAACAACTCATGTGAGTTGTTCAGATTCGTACCGAGAGATCCCTGAGGGAGAAGCGAAGCTCCTGCAGAGGCTGAGGATGATGGACAGATGAACAGACGTGGGCTACAAACAGGCCGCGCTGGAGCAGATCCTATAGGTGAAGAAGCAGATTTAAATTAAATGCTGATTTTAAGGAAAAAAGACAATGGGGCCAGGCCCCATGGCCGAGTTGTTAAAGTTCCACGTCCTCCGCTTTGGCGGCCTGGGTTCGGATCCCGAGTTTGGACCTACTCCACTCACCAGCCACGCTGTGGAGGTGGCCCACATACAGAAGAATAGAGGAGGACTGGCACAGATGTTAGCTCAGGGCTGGTCTTCCTCACACGCACACACAAAGGACAGGGGGAGGGGCATTGTCCCAGGTTTGTGTCATCGGGGAGCCCCCAGTCCTTGCAGTGGATTTGCCGTGTGAACATTTAGTTTCACTGAGAGTGTTCCTGAAACGTTTGTCGTCCCCAAATCGTCTCACCCCGAGTGAGAACAGTGTGTGTCGTGGGACTTTCCATGGGAGCCCGTGCCTGCCCTGGGTGGGGGGAGGCCGTCCCTGACCCCCGATGCCCTCTTGATAAACCCACTGGAGACGCAGCTCCTGGAGGCTGGAGGTGACCCAAGGGAGCCCTCAGAAGGGGCCTGTCCCTCCCCGTAGCCCCCCACTGCCTTCCGCAGGCCTGGGCGTGGCCTGTCACAGGGGTGGCCTCTCCCTGCCTGGTGGTGGTGGGCCTTTTGGGACAGACTCTGGAATAGGAGTTCTGGCTCTTCGATTAGAGAGTTTGTTGGGTAGAATTGTTTCTGTTGAGCTTTTAAAGGGATTATCTTCTCCTATTGGCTTGTTTTGTTTCTCTCGTTTACCCGGAGGGTCGTAAAGGCTGGGTCCTTGCTTCAGCCTGCATCGTCCCTAAACAAACAGGGCCACCGGTGCCCTCAGCCAGGTGCTGTCATCTGCAGACGAGGCCAAATGCAGTGGTCTGGTCTGTTGTGCCTCGGAAGGGCAGCATCCTTCAAGGATCGTGTGTGAGATGCATTGTAAAGAAGGGAAACTGAGGCAGAGAGTGATTATGTGGCTGGTGTAGAGCCCCTTGTGCTGCTTTCTGGATCGTGCTCAGTGATGGGGAGCTTCCTGTCCCTGGCCCGCTGTCAGCCACAGACAGACAGAGAATTGTTTGGACTGAGTGAGTCTGGGCCCTGGAAAATACTATGCAGCTAGCTGTCAAGAAACCGTGAGCAAGCCTCTGGGTCCTGATGAAGAGCTCCAAGGTCTGGTAAGTGGGAACAGCGAAGTGCAGGACGACACGTCCAGATAGAAAACCAGCATAAATCAATAGATGCTGATAGGCAAGGACCCACCCGGGCAAGAGACGCAGGAAACTGAGTCACTGGGAGCCTTGGGGGAACTGGTGTGGGGCAGAGAGAGTGCAGGCTTTTCATGGTATGTGCTTTAGAGTTTTGGACCACGTGAATAGACTGCCCATTAAACATTAGAATTAAAAAATAATACACGGTGTGTAGGGGTAGGAGGGTGGGGGTCTGCCTAGGCGTTTGTTTGAGCTGAAAGCAGGGTCTCGTGCCGCCCCTTGGCTGAGGCGTCCCTGAGCTCTGCCCCGAGGCCCGCAGAGCTGCAGATGCAGCAGTGGCCCTGAGTCCCTGTGACAGTCTTGCTCGGCCCTCTGCCTTCCCCGTCTGCCCCGAGCTGGCGCCCTGTTCTGGAGACCCTGTTGTTGCACCGAGCCCCCGATCTTCGCCCTTATCTTTAGCTGTGACTCCCTGTCGACAGGCTTCACTCCCCTTCGCCTGAGGTTGGGGGTCCCCTGGTGCTCCCGAGCTCTCTGAAGCCCAGAGCTCGCCAGCCGGCAGGAGCTGTCAGAGGCTTCCCCTCGGGTCCTCAGTGACTCTCAGGGATCAGGTGGCAGGAGCATTGCTCATCCAGGTGACGATGCTCAAAAATCTGCTTCCTCTGGAAAGGAAAGGGAGATTTACTTTGCCTCCCCCGGGCAGAGCGTCTGTGCCTTTTGTGCCTGGTACAGGTGCCTGCGGAGGAGGCCGCTGGCTCACCGTCTCTCGCCTCTCCCCAGGGCACCCTCCTCCAGCACCTGAAGGAGCACATTCTTCATGGCAACACGACCAGCAGCGACATCATCTTGTATTACACCACGGTGAGTGGGTCCCGAGGTGTGAAGGGAGGGGGTGTGCTGGGTGGCGGCCCCCCCGCCCCGGGCATGTGTCCCTCCCTGGTCACTTTGCTCCCTCCGGGTCCCCAGGCTTTGGGCCTCTCTGCTCTGTCTTCCCGCCTCTCCCCGGTCGCATGTGTTAATAGCAGGAAGCACAGGAGGCCCCAGGCTGTGCATGCGCAGCGGCTCCTGCCGATGGTCCTATCCCTCAGCCCTCACTCCGGCCCTGCCTCCCCCTGTCCCGCTGCCCACTGGAGTCTCGGGCCCGCATCCTCGCTCCTTGATTTGGCCTGTACTCCCCGCGGACCCCGGTTGCCTCTGGGAGACGCAGTGCACTGGGGAACTCTAGAGACCAAGGAGACTGCCTAGTGATTCGGTCTCTGAGCCCCGAGGCTCGTGGCTGAGATCTGCCATTCAGCCAGCAGGACAGGAGCCACCCAAGATGGCGGGAGGATCGTCAGGTCTTAGCTGCACAGCGGAAAGTGACTCTGACCGATGCCAACAGAAGAGTGGTTTATTGGAAGGCCGTTGGGTGGTGTGGGAGGCAGAATAATGGTCCCCAAAGATGTCCATGTCCTAATTCCCAGAGCTGTGAATCATGACCTTACGTGGCTTTGCCGGTGTGGTTCAGTTAAGGGTCTTGAGGTGCGGAGATGGCGCTGGGTTATCCAGGTGGCCCAGTGCGGTCACGGGCCCTTATAAGAGGAGGCAGGAGGCTCAGAGTCAGAGGAGCTGTAACGACAGAAGCAGAAGTCGGAGCGACATGGGGCCATGAGCCAAGGAATGCAGGCGGCCTCTAGAAGCTGGAAAAGGCAAAGAGCTGCCCCCCGTGAGCCTCCAGAAGGAACGCAGCCCGCTGACACCTCGATCTGGGACTTCTGACCCCCAGAACTTTCAGATTATAAATTTGTGTTGTTTTAGGCCACGAAGTTTGTGGCAGTTTCTCACAACAGCAGTGACAGGAAATGCATGAGCTGCTCAGTTACTGCAGCAGCTGGGGATCCAGGCAAGGAGACCAGCGGGGGCCAGAGGGAGGCTGCCCAGGGAGACCAGAGCCGCCCCCACAGGGAGACCCAGGCCCGGAGAGCAGCGTGCGGCCCCTGCTCCCCTGAGCCTGCGCCTCTGCCCGGCCCCCTGAAGCTGGCAGGCAGACGTCTGACCCTCAGCTTCTCCCTGAAGTGTGTGTCTCAGAATCCTGCGAAGGCTGGAGCATCCCCCACGTAAGGAAGGGGTCTCAGGTGGCCAAGGAATGCAGACAGACGTAGCAGAAGCTGATGACCACGAGTCCCCTCTGTGTCCGACGTCACTGGGACGGATGGTAGAACAGGGTGGGGGGTCCAGCCTCCAGCGCAGTGACACATTTAGTGGGGAATACGTGTCCTCAGACCAAAGCCTGGGTTCCAGGGGTTGGAGATGTTCCTAACGTTGCCGATGCTGAAAGATGAGAGCTTAGGACAAGTTGAAGGACGTGGGGTCTCCACCCAAGGGAAAAAAACTCAGAATCGGCTTTTTCCGAGACCGCAAATATCAGGAGGTTCCGCTCCCTGGATGACGATTCCGCACGGAGTTTTTAAGGGAACAGGATGCTGGAGGTGTGTCCCCATCCTGTGAGGCTCATGCCCCGGCCCTGGCTGTGCCCCTGGGACAGACCCCGGGACCAAGCAGACAGGACTGGAGCCTGAGAGTGCTCTGGCCGTGTGACCAGGGGTGGGTTGCTGCATCTCTCTGTGCTCCCAGCTGTAGACTGGGGGCTTAGGCAGTGACTTGGGTTTCTTCCAGCTGCAGGGTTCTCCCAGACCCTGCACCCACTGCCCATGTGCAGGACGGTGGTCCCGGGCACCGCCAGGCCGGAGCCCTTTCCTGCAGAACCGCGGCCCGCAGTGTCCGCCAAGTCTCGCTTTGGATTCAAAAGCCCAGCAGCGGCGCTGATGGCCAAGTCGGCTGCCTGTCTGGGACGTGGCCACTTACAGTGACAGGTTTTGCTTCGAGGGCACGGACACAATGGAAGGACTGAAAACTCGGGAGCAGTTTCCATGAAGGCGTCTCTCTTTTCCGGAGGCATCCTGCCCGGGAAGGATTGGGCAGTTGGCGTTTTCCATCGAGCAAGCCTGGTGCCGACTGCAGCCTCGGGTGGCGGTGGCTGTGGGGCCCCCATCCCTCCCAAGCCAGGCCCATGGGGTGCCACTTGCTGACCGACTCTGACAGCTACACATTGAGGCAGCCGGGTGCAGTCCTGTTTGGGGCGCCCAGCCTGGGTTCCTCTGTTAGGAGTAATTCCTTAATGAAAAAAACTCACTGTAGGACGTTAAAACCTCTTAACAAAGCAGCTCAACGACCCAGAGAGTTTCGTGTGGTTCCTCTGCCCTTTGCTGCATCATTTGCCGTCCCCACCAGACTTTACTGGTTGTGCCCCATGCACTCTTGTCTGGAGCTTTCCCACTGGAGTCCCCAACCTGAGGACTGCTTGGGGTGCCTCCTCACGTGGCCGCCCGGTCCCCATTGGCGGGATTCTGACCTGGGGCAAGGCCGGGACACCCGGTGACCGTCCGCTCCAGGCTCCAGTCTTGCAGTGGGGCCTCCTGGCCCCCTTGCTGAGCGGGTGGGGGCAGGCTGGTCCCTCTGCCCTCCGGCCGAGCTGCCTGCTGGAACTTCCCCCTGCTCCCTGGCACTCTCCTTATATTTGTTTAGCTCCAGAACCCCCGACAGATTCTCCCTGCCTGTGTGGGACTGCCGTTGTCAGTGGGGCCGTGAGCGCCTTTTGGCCTTTTAAAAGACTTTTAAACAAAGCTCTGCTTGCGTTTGTCCAGCCATGTGGGGACACAGCGAGAGGTCGGCGTCTTCCAGGGCCCAGAGGCAGCCACCTCAGTCCTTCTCGTGCGTGTTCTGTGTGCACCTGCGGACGTGTTGCCGCCTTTACTGGTCTCGAGTGTGTGTGTGTTTTCACCCATCCGCCCTTTTCTGTATCCCAGTGGGGTTAGGCCGTGCCCCCTCTGCTGGGCTTGTCTTGCCCCTCAAGTTTGTCTTCCAGACAGTTCCACATCAGCCCAGACCTCATTCTTTCCTGTGGCTGCATAGGGGCTAACTCATGAGCCGGGTGCCATCCTGAACATTTGCTGTGGGTTCACTGATGCGGAGTCTGTGTCCAGACTATGTGGCACTGTTCCTGTGTCGACGGGCGTCTCCGTGCCTTTCAGTCTCCCGTCACCAGCCGGGCCGCAGTCAAGTCTTTGACACGTCTTAGTGCACACGCGTGAGCATATGTGTACTGGAGACTCTTGACGTGGAATTGGTGGGGCAGAGCACCACGTGTTGGAAACGGGCAGTTCTCGCCAACGTGGGGCTCAGTTTTAGGTGGTTCTCCAGGGACACGAGAGGCTGAGTGACAGGTGATGGGAGCTGGCCCAGCGCTTGGTTGACACCGCGCTCCTTCTGTCTGTTCCAGGTCGGCTGGATGATGTGGAACTGGACGGTGTCCGCTCTTGCCACGGGGGCGGCCCTGGTCCTGTACGACGGCTCCCCGCTGGTGCCCACGCCCAACGTGCTCTGGGACCTGGTGGACAGGATCGGGTAGGTTCCTGGGCAGCGAGCATGGCCGCAGAGCTGCGCCACCGTCCCCTCGTGTGGGATCTGGGTGCCGTCTCCCAGTGCTTTGCCATTCTGGATGTCTCCCTCTTGAGGGGCCTGTGGGAGGGCGTGGAGGTGCCAGAAGCAGTTGAAGGTGTCAAGGGGGGTGGGAAGGGGTGGGTGCCCCGGCAGGGACCGATCAAGGAGATGGGGCTCTTCCGTGTGGAGGAGGCCCAGCCGTGAGCCCTCAGGCATCCGGGCACCGGGGGTGGGAATGTGGTCTTAGCTCTGTCACTCGGAACCTAAGAGCTGCCGGAGAGGCTCCGAAGAGGACGCCTAGGGCCGGGAGAGCGCTGCTTGGCCCAGGGCTCCTCGCCTCGAGGGTGAGAGAGTGTGACCCAGGCTGGACGGGCAGACCTGTTCCCGGGACGCGTGGGCAGCCTCACAGAGGGTCGGTGCAGAGTCTGTTATGGGGGCGTTCGTAGAGCCCGTCTTTCTCTGAGCCCGATGGTGAAGAGAGCTCTGCTTGTCGCTGGCTGTCCCCCAGCGCTGGCCGGCCGTCTCCTGGAGTCTCTGGAGCCCGTCACAGGTGTGCTCCCCAATGCCTCCTGCCAGTGCTGCAGAGGGCGTCTCCACCTCCCACATTCCCGCCAACAGCCCGGCCCGTGGTTGGGTGACAGGTGGGGTCGGAAGCCAGTTACCAGGGGGCGTTGAGAAAGTGGGGAGGGAGAAGGGCCCTGTCCTCCCCGTCCCCTCCTCCTCGGCTCTGTTGGAAACTGTCGGCAGAGCCTGTTCACGGGCACGTTCTCTGCTGATGAGTTAACCGTAACTGGTGCATAATTGTTCTCGCTGCCACGGTTCGTGGTCGCCGCTGGCTTGATGATCGTGTTTCCAGGAATGAGGGTGTGGAGGCCGGCAGAGCTCTGGGCCGAGTCAGCCACCCTCTGAATCATTCTGGTTACTTTAAGTTTGGATCCGTTCACAGTAGGGAAACAGAAGGAAGCCGCTAACGTTTTTAAACCCTTGGCCGTTAATATTTGAAATGTAACTTGCCTGGCCTGGGTAATATTTACATCCTGACGTTTGGCTCACAATGTTAATGAGGATGTAAATATTACCCAGGCCATTAGGTTATTTCCTAATGAGGCTGTTTCCAGCGAAAGGTTAATGGGATCCCTGGGAACTTAGATGGCTTTAAGATCCTTACCCATAATACCTGCAGGCTGGGCTCCTGGTGACACTTTTGGGGCGTGTGTGTGTGTTACAGGAAGAGGAAGGGAGAGGAAAATGTACATCACTGGGGCTTAGAGGTAATGAAGTTGGACGAAGGGTCACAGCAAAAGCCAGCTTTGTGTGTGAGTGTGTGTATGTGTGTGGGTGAGAGTATGTGTGTGTACATCAGTGTGTATGTGTGCACGAGTATAAGAAAATGTGTGTATATGAGCAAGTGTGAGCATATATGCATGTGAGTGAAAATGAATGAGCATGTGTGCATGTGCATGGGTGTAATGGGTGTATGAGAGTGTGTGTGTGCACACATGGGTGGTGAGTGTGTGTGTATGAGTGTATGTGTGTGCCTGTGTGAGTGTGTTCACAGCTCTGTGCTCTGGATCTGAGCACCTGCCTTCCAGCGGCCGGGTCGGCCTGTGATCAGATGCTGCCTGAGCCGTAGCCTGGGCGTCCGCAGGACCCCTCTGCCCGGCCACCCTCCTCGGCTTCAGCAAGGCTGTGGGTGCAGCTTCCCAGCCTGGCAGGGCCGGGGTGAGGGCACGGGAGGACCCGGGCCTCTGTGTCTGCTCCGACCACCAGCGTGGTTACAGGAGTGGGCGGGTCGGAGGGCAGGATGCCTTCAGCTTAGCCTTGCCCGTCTCCTGAAAACTAAATAAAACACAGTTAAACGTGGGCACAGAAGCCCCTGCTGGTTTGTGGCGGGGGGGGGCGACTCCTGGGATGCGCAGGGCAGGCAGAGTCTGCTCAGCTCTGCTTTGGTGCCGCCGATGTTTGTATAATGTCGATGAGCTTAGGAGGGGAATCTCCCTTGATGGGTATCCTGTCAGCTCACAGGCCTATTAGCAGATTGGATAACTGTTGATTTTGTCGGCACGAACAAGATTCTTTTAAAAGACGAACTTATTCGTTTGACCAGGGGGGCGTTCCGGTCAGGGTCAGGGCCACAACGCTGGGGCCTTCTGTCCGGGTTTTGCTGGTAACTGGGCAGGTGTCACGGTCGCCCGAGTGGCCCCGTGTCCTGTCTCCTAGGGGGCTTACTGTAAGGTAGTTCCGGATGGAGCATCGTGATGGGCGAGCGAGCTCATCTGTCAGAGTGGACTCGTTGGGCCAACATTTGCCACATCGTTTGCACACCCTTCACGGGTTTGGGGGTCTGCTCTGCGCCAAGCACCCTGCTGGGCCCTGGGGTACACACAGCAGGACCGTGATGGAGCAGGTCGCTGTCCTCGTGGGGCTGGCACTCTAAGGGGGGAGGCAAGGAGAAGAGAGAGAAGGTGAGCTCAGGCTGCTATCAGTGTGTCGTAGACCTGGGGTCGGGGAGGGTCCTGGGAGGTGACGGCATTGGGGCTGGGGCCTGGACGTTTAGGACTGGGGGACACGTGTTCCAGGCAGAGGGAGCAGCAGGGGCCGAGGCCCTGAGGGGGACTGAGATTGGTGTGCTGGGGAAGCTGGAAGGAGACCCTTGTGGCGTGAATGTGAAGAGTCGGGGGGCCGGGGAGGGGGCCGAGGGAGCCTGGTGGGGGTGGGGGAGAGCGTGTTCTCAGAGGGGGTTTTTCTGCGTGAAACGGGACACCGTTGGAACGTTGGAGTGAGCGGAGCTACCTGATCTGGCTCACGTTTGTAAGGGCTCAGCCTCGCTCCCGCGTGGAGAATGAATTGTGGGCCCAGGGCAGACGCAGGGAGATGGGTCTTAGGCTGATGGAGCCTTCCACGTGCGAGAGGTGGCCGAGGCGGAGCTGTCTGTGAGCTGTCCGTACACGGCTCCTCCGGGCTCTGGCGAGGGGCGTGGGGTCTGACGCCGAGAGCTGGGCAGCTGCTCGTTCTCCCTGTGGTCATCCCAACGGTTCTGCTCACGATCCGCAGCACCGAGCGCCCAGACAGGCTCCCGCACGGTGAGGACTAAGTGCTTTTAAAATTATCTCATGCAAGCACTGGAGACAGACGGGGAGACCTTGTCAGTTCTCCAGACCGTGGGCTGGGCCTCGGGCCCAGCACCTTCTGGTCTTTATCTGTTGTCAGCTGCAGACTTACACGTGTGACTCGAGCGCTAGTTAGAACCACAGAGAGCCATCGATTTGGGGGAGGGAGGTGGGGAGCGAGCAGAATAAAACCCACGTGTTGTGTTGATGTGGTTGGTGATTGGAGATCCCTGTGCCTGTGGCCGGGGGCGGTCATGGCCGTCCAGGCCGGGCGTTCCGCCATCACAGGGTGACGGGCTCCCTAGTCTTCTTTTAAGATGCAGATATTCCCAAAGGGTGACCCCTTAATCCTTGGAGGTGACCTGAAATTATTAATCAGGCTACCTGACTTCGTGAAATACGCATGGGGGGCCGTGGGAGGAGCGGGTCCATTTCCTGCTTCCCACAACCTCCCCCTCTGGAAACAGCCCTCTGGAGTGCAGCGACCTGGGAGGTGCCTGAGGTTTTCGTCGGGGCATGGTGGTCCAGGCGGGCAGGAGCTATGACAGGCAGCAGCTCTGAGGGGCCCCACCCTGCTGCCGCTTTGGCCCCTCCCAGCCCAGTAGCCCCGAATCACTGATGTCTTGTGTCTGCCTCTCAGCATCCATGTGTGGCCATCTCCCCAGAATGGATGAGGCCTTGCTGCCCAGAGGGACGAGGACGGGCCTTGATTTTGTAGCCTCCTTTGGGCCCCGAGAGAACCGTTCTTTAGGGGAAAAGAGAGTTTGCACTCCAGGGGCTGTGTTGCTGCAGGAGCAGCGAGGAGGGGAATCGATACTGACCACGCTCTCCCATCAGAAACGTGCTGATTGACACCCAGCCTAACGTGTCGCCCTCCGAGCGCAGACGCGAGCATCGAGGACAGTAGGTTCTCGGAAAGCGCTGGAAAAGAGATGAGCTGTGATTTTCTAAGTTTCGTTAAACTAGGAGCTTACCTAAGAAAAGGCAATGGGTCGAGAATTCCAGGTGTGGCACCTGTTCTCATGAAAGGCCTGGAGCCCTCCCCACTTTGTTGGAGGATGGACGTGTGAGGTTGGAATCGAGGCTCCGATTTTGTGGCCCCCACTGGTCCCCAGAGGAAATATTGTGCAGTTGGGGACATCTTGGGTTTATGTGCGAACGATTGTTTTAAATGTTAGAGGGAGCCAGGTCCCCTGCGCCTTGGAGCTGCTGCGAAGGCCTGTCACTGCTGTTACAGAGCAAACACAGGTGTTGTGACTTGCTTTCAACTAAATATTAACTATTAATCAGCCCAGAAAAATGACGTGTCTTGGGTTTTGCAAACCGGTCAGAAATGAGGCACTGATTTTAGAAAGCTTTAGTGTGTGGAATGAGCAAGAGCCGTGAAGAATTTCTGCTGTTTTCCTTCCCTCCTGCACCCTTAGCATCACCATCCTCGGAACGGGTGCCAAGTGGCTGTCTGTGCTCGAAGAGAAGAACTTGAAGCCGGGTGAGTGGGCGTCTCAGAGCCCGCGCCCTGTTCCCAGCAGGGCGGCCAGGGCCGCTGTGCTCCTGTCCCTGCGCGCACGCCGGGCTGCGGGCGCCCGGCTGAGCTCTGACCTCTCCCTGATTCTTGGCCCTAGCGGAGAGTCACAGTCTGCAGACGCTGCACACGATCCTGTCCACCGGCTCCCCGCTGAAAGCCCAGAGCTACGAGTACGTCTACAGGTGCATCAAGAGCCGCGTCCTGCTCGGCTCCATCTCAGGTACGCGTCCTCTCCGTGCGCCTGCGCTGGGGAGGGCGGTCCCAGCCGAGTCAGAGGGCATGCGGGCGCGGCCAGGCCGGCCCTAAGTGTCGAGGCTCCTTGTTCGCGGGAGGGGTGTTCATTAAAGTCGCTGTGAACGCTGCGTTAGCGAATACGGAGCCATCGCTCTGGGGAGGTGTCTATGTGCGCACACCTCACGGCAGTCATAGGCTTCAGTCCTAAAAACGGCTCATCCTGGCAGATTCTGTTTTCTTTATTTTACAAAAGAGAACGGGGTTCAGAAGTGTCAAGTGGCCATCCTGAGGTGCCCGGCTGCCCGGGTGGGTGCAGGGCGGGGTGCAGACCCCCGTCCAGCTGGCCCAGAGCCCAAGTGGGCTGCCCTGTCCACCTCCGTCCACCGCCCTTCTCTGTCCCAGAGCTGAGACCAGAGGGCAGGGCACCGCCCAGCTGGGCCCCGGCCGGGAACATACCCATCGGGCGACTTGAGTGTTTCACTCTCTGTGCGCATCGTCGAGCGGCTTTGGCAGCACCCAAGGGTTGATTTTGAGGTTACAAATAAATTTTAGCAAGTAGGCAAATTGGCAAATACAAACTCTGTAAATAGCAAAGATTGACTATATATAAGGACAATGATTGTGACATTGTTTATATTAGTTAAAAACTGGAAATCACGTGTATGCCCAGTAGAAGGGAATTGAGTAATTTATAATGCATCCTTAATTTACACAGCCGTGAAAAGCGATGTGATGAAAGTTTTTATTTAGATGGAAATATATTTATTGACATTGACAGATGGCCGTGGATATGTTGAGTGAAAAAAGCAGATTGTAGAGTTATAAAGTGTGGTCATTATGTAGATTGGAAAAGGGGAATTTACGGATGTCTATCTATATACACACTCACATGGGTCTATGTATGGGAGTTGGAATTTCAAGTGACTTGCCTGTGGCTGCTGCTCTGTCTACTCAATGGAATTGTGCAAAACTTGAATTGCCCGAAGCAAGCAGAGTTTGTATGATATTTGTTTGAGAAGGTCTTTGTCTCTGTGGGGAGGGACCAGGGGTCAGGGACACGAGTTTTACTCTTTCTCCTCCCGAAACTTCTGGGTTTTGTCTTCTGCATCACCGGGGACTCGAGGTGCTGGGAGAAGGCAGGAGGGACCTCGCGTTTCCATTCTCTGCCTGAGGGAAAAAGTCAGGTCATCTTAGAGCTGAGGCCAGAATTAAGCCCCGTTGTTGGAAGCATCGAGTCCTTTTATGTGGATCTTGAACCCCCAGCCCCCAGTTCATCTACCCAGAGCATGATTAGGAGAAGGCATTTGTTTAAGTTAAGAAGATACCTTTCCAGGTGCACAGACAGGTACAAAGAGGAGCAGAGACACCAGGGTCTGAGCCACCTAGTGGAGGACTCGTGTCTGTGTGTCTGTGTCTGGTGTGCGTGTGTGAGTCTGTGCTCAGGACACCCCGCGGGGCGTCACACAGGGTCCCTGCCCACCCAGGGTGCTCTAGTGAGGGGCAGTTCTTAGGCAGTGGTGGGTCTGGGGTCGAGGGTTAACTTCCTTTCCTCTTGGTGGACTTGGGGTCTGGCTGCCTTTCGAGCCCCTTCCTAAAGCAGGAGTCGTTCCCATCTGGCACCTTCTCTCTCGCATAGACTCACACCCGTGGACCTCAGGGGTTCTGCTCTTCCAACAACTGCCCGTAAACTATAGCAAAGGGCCTTTGCACGTGCCCGTGCGGCCGAGGCCGTGCCTGCAGAGCTGTATCGGGCGAAGCTTCCACTTCCCCTGAAGCTGAGTCTTGCATCCCAGTGTGACCAGCAGAGGCCATGGTTTAGTCTCCTCCAGCAGGAAGACTTGTCAGAAAGTAAATCATCCAGACGCAGGAGCTTTGCTCCAGTTTCTAAACCCCCTCTCCCATTTCTCCCTGAAAAGAAGCTCCGGCCGTCTGGGCATTTTTAGCATTTCCTGGAGAGAGAATAGTACGTGTTCGTCCTTCGGCGTCTTTCTCTGTTGCTCACTGATAAACCACAAGCAGTTGGGCTCAGTCGTCCACATTTTGAATCTCCTTTGCCCTTGCTTGCAGGTGGCACCGACATCATCTCCTGCTTCATGGGCCAGAATTCCTCCGTTCCCGTGTACAAAGGGGAGATTCAGGCCCGCAACCTGGGCATGGCCGTGGAGGCGTGGAGTGAGGAAGGTGACGGCTTCGCGTACTGCGTTTCTTCCTGTGACCGGGCGTGAGGGTAACTCGAAAGTGCTTGACGTGTGACCGGTGCCGGTTCTCCAAAACCGTGTGTCTGAGCGGGCAGCCCTCTCACGTGCAGGCTGACGTCCCTCCGGCCTGGTTAACTCCCGCGGGCTCCGCAGCCCCCTCAGCCTGCCCCCGAGCGGTGGGTATTGGACCGGAGCAGCAGTGGGGAGCTGTGTGCTCAGGATGGCAGGCAGGTGTCCCCGGCATCCAAGTGTTGGGGATGCTGCTGAGATACCCCGCTCCCTCGCTGGCCTGATGCCCTGGCCTTGACGGGAGCCCAGGGCGGGAGCTGGGGGTTGGCCTCTGTGTTGGTCTCAGGACAAGCTTTTACTTCGTAGCCTGTGGCAGCCACTGGCTACAAATCAGCAAAGTCTGTTTGTGTCCCCAGCACCAAACAGGGCCTGGCGTGTGGTGTGTGCACTGTGCAAGTTCATGGACTTAAACTGTTTGCACCACAGCCACCATTATTTTAACCTCTTGGAGCAAATGGGGAGGTTATGCCAACCCCGTTTGCGTGAGGAAGAGGTTAAGGCAACAGTGGAATGGCCGCACCAGGTTAGGGGCTGGAGGCCCAGGGAGCGCAGAAGGGTCTCTCCCGCCTCGTGTTCACGGAAACATCTCTAGCGACCTTTCTGAGAGTCAGGGCTTGGTCTGAGAAGAGGGCCTCTCCCTTTTGCTGTCCAGGCGATTTGCGCATAAAAGTTCTCGGTTCCACTTGTCTGTGCCCTTCCCACCTGGCTGAACCACTTTCCCGGGCTTGGCTGCTGCTGCGGTCCGTGGCCTGGGCAGGAGGGGGCGCTCCCAGCAGAGAGAAGCAGGCGGTCTCCCCAGCGTTCAGATGCACGTGCAGCCGTCTGTCTCTCTTCTCTCTGGGGGATATCGTGGGAAGAAGTGAGCCAGCCGAGGTGAGAGACATGTGAAAAGTGAGCAGCCCCCATGGGTGGATTTCTCTAATGCGGACCCTGCCTTGCTGAGCCGGCGGCAGGTGCTGGGGCAACAGGTGCTGCCGGGTCAGTGCCTGTGAGGACTGAGTCGTTGGAAGGATGCGCTCCCGCCCTCTCTCATTGGCCTCTGCGGCTGTGCTGTGCCCGGGGCTAGAAACGGGCCGCCCTGGAGGGAGCAAGGGTGACTCGGGGCAGGACGTCTGGGACTGAGAGTGAAGGTGGAGCTGCGTGGGTGCCCCGTGATCTGGGCATCCTGCTCCAGGAGAAGTACCTGCAAATAGGAACTAGGTGGAACATGCAAGAAGGTTCCGAGCGGCAGGGGCTGTGATAGGAAACAAGATGGGGACGACACAAACTACGTCTCCAGGGAGAATAAACTGCTGTGGTTGTCCCGCGGAGAATCACGGGCAACGAGAGCGGATGGCGAGGGTGCTGTGTGTCTGTGATTGAGTCCCCGGGGTGTGATGCTGAAAGAGCAGAGCACGATGCTGACACATGCAAGGTGGTACCATCTGTGTAAAGTCCAGCCACACGCAGAGTGACAGCGTATGTTATTCAGAGCTGCGTGTAGACGTAAAAGTTAACACACGGGAAGCATGAAACACTACGGTTCCGGAGAGGGCTTTGGGGAGGAATGAGCTCAGGTTTCAGCAGTGCTCACGTGCTGGGCGGTGGTGTGGATCAGCTCTGTGCCTGTGTGTGTCCGAAATACTGCATAATAGGTAAGAGCTTAAAACAGAGAGGGGCTGGCCCTGTGGCCTAGTGGTTAAAGTTGGAGCACTCTGCTTCAGTGGCCTGGGTTCATGGGTTCAGATCCCAGGCACAGAGCTATGGCACTTGTCAGCCATGCTGTGGTGGCATCCCACATACAAAATAGAGGAAGATTGGCACAGATGTTAGCTCAGGGCCAATCTTCCTCACCCCCCCCCCCCCAAAAAAAAGAAAGAAAGAAAAAGAAATAGAGAGATAGAACCAGGGTGTGTGGCTGTGGTGTGTGCTCTGTTAATTTTTGATTCCTCCCAACCAGGAAAGGCAGTGTGGGGAGAGAGCGGTGAGCTGGTATGCACAAAGCCACTTCCGTGCCAGCCCACACACTTCTGGAACGACGAGAACGGGAGCAAGTACAGGAAGGCGTATTTCTCCAAATTCCCAGGTCAGTTGGGATACAGACAACTGTGCAGACTGCCCCTGGGCTGGGCCTCCTGTGTCCAATTCCAGAAGCCCCTACCCACGCCGAAGCCAGGCGAAGCTTCTCACAGCTCGTGGTGCCAGCGTGGCGATAATGAGTTTTTGATCAGTATCTTGTCATTTCAGCTTGAAGCCATCACATGACACTGTAATCTGGGTTTAGTTGCATCTTAACCACCCCCTGTGCCCAGAGCCCTGTGGCCCCAAGCCCGCTGCCGGGCACTGCCTAAGCTGCCGGTGGGCGCGTGTGAGGGCGGAGGGGGGCTAGCGCCTCATGGTTGCGAGCCGATTGGTGAGCTCTTAAAGCCGGGCAGTGTCTCAAGAATTGGGAAGGAAGAGATGCTCTCAGTGAAGACGCAGAAGCTGGTATGATTTGGTATTTTCCCTTTCTGGATTGCTGCGTTACCGTCTAAATGGGGTTCTCCTACGTGGTGTGTGTAAAAAAGCCAATTATTATGGCTCCAGCTTTCGGGAGAAGAAACGTAGCTTTATTTTGCGAGATTGAGCTCCAACGGGATGGGCACATCCTCTCAGATCTGTCTCCCCGATCCAGGGCTTGAGGTGCATTTATGGGGTGAAGGACGGGGCCGTCTGAAGTGTGGAGATGTTACTGCACAAAACTGGGGTTCTCTTGCCCGATGCGCGTAAACCAGCCGCTTAATTACGGCGTCAGCCTTCGGGGAAAGAGATCAGCTTTATTCCGTGAGATGGATCTGCTGGAAGACGGGCCGTGTGCCCTCAGATCTGTCTCCCCGATTCTGGATTTGGGGCAAAACTTACAAGGTTAGGGAGCACAGGCAGGCACGGGGAAATGCTGGTGGGGCAGGTTTTAACTGGTGGGCTTCAAGCATTTATGGTGACGTTGTAAACGTTTATGGTGAGGTTCTAAACGTTTATGGTGAGTTGGGACGGAGTTTTAACACGGGATCTTCCTGAGTGACGGACCCCTTGCTTCTGATGAGTTCTGGTCGTGTCCTGGTCCTTTGGTTCTGTGGGGAGCAGAGTCTTTGGTTCTGTGCCCATTTCAGGTCATTCCTTCTTCTGCGCGTGTTCTGGCTACATGATTCTGCAAACTGCAAATTTAGTGAATGGCCATTCTTGATCACTCTGCTGATGAGATGGGGTCGGTTGACCTGCTCCTGGATCCGCGGTCACAGAGACAGATGACTGGAGGGGAGGCGTGGGGAGGTGACTGACGGTCTGCGCAGGCGAGTCCAGCTCGCTCGCTCTTCACGGGACGTGTGTTCACAAAATGGTGGCATTGCCACGATCTGAAGTGGAGTTTTTAGCTCCCTGACATCAGAGGGTCATCTGCTCACGCCCAGTTGATGGGCTGGTGGTCTCAACCGGCCTGAACCGGACGAGGGTCTCAGTTCCTGGGAAGCCATGTTGGCCACCCTGTGGTAGACGGGGCCCATGGGACCGTCCTGGAGGCCCCGTCACAGCAGGGACTCGGGGCTTCTTTCAGAGGCTGCCTGCTGTAGCTCATGACCTCCAGGTCGTCGCGGAGCCTGTGGGGACGTGCTCTTGATTGTCACACCCACTTGGCCTCCGTTAGTGTGGTGACCAAGGGCCGCGCATCTGCCAGTGGGCAGAGCCTCCGCCTGGTTGACTTGCTCTCGTGACAGTCCCCTCGTGAGGCGTGGCTTCTCTTCACTGTCTGGTGTGGGGTGAGGACGTGTCCGAAGCTGGGGCTTTGAGCCCCTGCGTGTACTGGCTCTGCTGTGCCCAGGACGAGGCCCTCCGCTGAAGGCCCAGGACCCAGCTGTGCCTGTGGGCCACGTGGCGATGGCTCAGTGTGGCTCGGTGTCAGCGTCAGCTCTGAGTCTCTCCCCTCCCTGGCCCCCACGTCTCCTGGGTTTTCCCTGCTAGTTGGCTCTCTGTCCGCGGGGCTGGTGCTGTGGTTCAGCCTGTGTGACTGGGGCTGGCGCGGGAGCCTCCAGCCTGTCGTGCCGCTGGTCTGCCCCGCTCCAGCACCTCCCTTCGGAGGGCCCTCCCCGGAGCCCCCGCTGACCTCCACTAGTCCTCCTCTCATCCTCTCTCCGTGAGTTCCCGAGGCCCCTGTCAGGCCTGCATGACGGTGTTTCTCAGACACTGGCGCGTGTCAGAGCTGGGGGTGTGGCGGCCCCCCTTAGAAGGCGTGTTCCTGGGGGGGCAGAAGCTGTCGGCTCGCTTCCGCCCCCGGCCCCTGGGCCCCCAGCCCCTCACACACCTGTCTCTGGGCCTCGGCCATGTCTGTCGATGAGAGTCCCGTGCTGAACTGACAGCGGCCTGCTGCTGTCGTGCCTGTGGCAGTGTCTGTCCCGCAGCCAGTCAGGGCCCCTTCTCCTCGGGTGACTGAGCGCCTCTGTCCCCCCGCAGGTGTCTGGGCGCACGGCGACTACTGCAGGATCAACCCCAAGACCGGGGGCATCGTCATGCTGGGCCGGAGGTGAGCGGCTGTGCGCGGTGTTGGGGGAGGGGAGGGACTGCGGCTGTGTCCCGGCCCCTCCATCTGCTCAGTCTGCAGTGTGAGCTGATGGCGCCCTTTGGGGCCCTTCTCATACCAGCTGCCCCCCGGGGGCCGGGGCTGGGCCTGATCCGCATCTCTCTGCCCCACAGGCTGGTTCGGGGGGCATTGGGGTGGGATGCCCGCAGCAAAGGCGTGGCCATTGTCCGTCCACAGTAGCGATGGCTCGTCCGGGCCTGGGGTGTGAGGGCATTGGGGCGCACCACACCTGTGAGGGAGGGACACGTGGACAGGTGGGAGGGCAGTGAGGTGACAGGTGCTTCCACACAAAGGGGACTCCCTGGCTGTCTAGCTTTGGGTTAAAGAGACGGGGGTGGCTGGTCGGGATAAGGAGCCTCAGTGACTGGGCGTGGTGGTGTCACCTGGGGGGGGGGGTGACTGCCCCTCGGGCCCCCTGCGACGTGCCTCCCTCAGGAGCTGCCGTGTGTTCATGACCTCGTCTCTCTCTCCAGTGACGGCACCCTCAACCCCAACGGAGTGCGCTTCGGCAGCTCGGAGATCTATAACATCGGTATGCGTTGCCCTTTCTCCCCAGAGCTCCTCCAGGCGGCTAGGAAGGAAGGACTGTCCCCGTGGGGCGCCCCAGAGCCTGCTTTCCAAAGACCCCACCTTTTGGGATAACTCTGGCCCGTTTGCTTCCAGGTGTCAGAATAGACATGATAAGCCTTTCCTTCTTTCCAGAACATACCTTGCTTGTAGCTCATCAAACCTCAGAACGGGGTTCTTATGGTCACATGGCCCATCCCCATTCTGTTATGTTTCGTCCTCATGATGAAACGCCAGCTCCATCAGGTTGGTTAATTGGGTCTACTCTTTATGGATGAAGAAAGAGAAGCACAGAGAGGTTGCATGATTGGTGAAGATCACACAGCACCAGTCAGGACACCAAATAAAGACAGTGAGCCTCATGGCTGCACAGTAGTCACCTGGGGCCTTCACAATCCCCCTGCAAGGCCACGAAATCAGCCTCCCTGGGAGGTGGCTCCCTCTGGATGTCAGAATCCCAGTCATGTCCAGGCTGTTTGTGCAGCCACGGTGGAGAAGTCCTGATCCATCTGATTCCAGCCTTTGTTCCTCCCCGCAGTGGAGTCCCTACCACAGGCACTTGCTTTCTTTTCATTGTTAAATTAATTTGTACCTAGGTAAGGAAGGCCCGGGCATGATCCCTGTAAGCGTCAACCTTTCCTGCTCAGGGCCAGCTCTGACTACCCCCGGGGTGGGGTCCTTCCTAGGGTGGCTGGGGGGACACGGGCAGTGGAGTCGCTGGCCGAGGGGGGTTGACGCGAGTGTGGCTCCCCCCCTGTCTCCGCAGTGGAGGCCTTCGAGGAGGTGCTGGACAGCCTGTGTGTCCCCCAGTACAACGAGGACGGCGAGGAGAGGGTGCTCCTCTTCCTGCTGATGGCCTCCGGCCACGCCTTCCAGCCCGACCTGGTGAAGCGCATCCGCAGCGCCATCCGCGTGGGCCTGTCGGCCCGGCACGTGCCCAGCCTCATCCTGGAGACCAAGGGCATCCCGGTACGGCGCCGCAGGGGTCTGTCACCTGCCGCCTGGCAGCAGTGGCCAGAGGGTGGTCACCCCCAGGATCCACGCACTGTGGGCCCCGCCCCCCCCCAAGCTGCTCCTGCTTTCTATAGAGTTTTTCCGCTTTGCCTGGCAACCCCATCCTTCCTGTTTCCTGTCCTCTCTTTTTTTCCACCCTTCCCAAATTGCATTTAAAGCAACTTCTGCAGAACGCCGGTTTTCAGGGGTAGGCGGGCCCCACATGCACGTCCGACCGGCTTTTCCCGATGCGGTTTTAGTGGTTCTCAAGATTATTAATGAGAAAATTAATTTTAACTTTTGAAAGAGCCGCTGGGGTGCTGTTGCTCTCGCTTGTGATTTTAAGTTCTGCCTGCGGAAAGATATGAGCGTGTTTAGGGGCCGTCTCCACAGAGCCGCTCCCCTCAGGCTTCGCGAGCTTCTGGGGGAGGAGGCGTGCCCGGCTGGACCACAGCTTTAACCTGCACACGGATGACTCGTCCGCCGAGGAGCATGCCGTGTGCACGCGCGTGCACACAGAGCAGTGTGCACACAGACATGCAGGCCGTGCGAAGCCTGCAGGGTCGCCGTCCTGGCAGAGGAGAGGAGCAGATTCTCCTGGCCGGCAGGGAGGCCGGGTTCCGATGCTGCCCAGGCAGGACGGGTGCGAGGGCACTTGGAAACGGAGTCTTCCAGGACAGGCAGCTTCCTGGGGGCCCCGAGAGCTGAGGCCCTTGACTTTGGAAGCCTGGGGCGCACTGAGCATGCGGCGCCCGACACGAGCAGCTACGCTGTGCCGGCCCTTCACCCCGTCGCCTGTGCTCTCTGCCCGGTGTCCTTCCTCTGGGAGCTCTCAGCCCGGTGCCCTTCCTCTGGGAGCTCTCAGCCCCGTGCCCTTCCTCTGGGAGCTCTCAGCCCCGTGTCCTTCCTCTGGGAGCTCTCAGCGAGCTTCCTGTTCGCCACCGTGTCCTCTGGCCCTGTCTTGGCCCCCACGCTGCTATCCTCTGTTGGGGCGTTCCCCTCTGACCCAGGCCGCACTCCTGGGCACGGGCCGTGTCTGTCTGTCTGGTGGGCAGGGACCCTGTCCGCTCACACCCTTCTCCCCGGAGCCCAGCCTCCCACTGGCAAACAGCAGGCACTCAGACATGGCACTTGAGCCAGTGTGAGCGAGTGAGTGGTGCATGCAGCCGGCCTCCTGGCCACTGGGGAGGCTGGGTGGGGGAGCTTTTCATGCCCGCTTCACTGACGGCGGCTGCGTGCGTCAGAGGCCGGGGATGGGGGGTGGGGGACGGCAGCCAGGTCGGCTCTGCCCTGCTCAGCTCAGCGGACTGAAGCCTGGGACTCGGGGCTGGGCAGAGGGGCCCCGAGGGCAGCCCCGGCCGCCCGATCCAGCTGATCTTTGTCCTGGTCTCGTCAGTCACCTGGTCTGTGCTGACAGGAGGCAGCATGGCTTTCATCTCGGGGGGCCGGGCAGAGCCCAGGGGCCCCTGCACCCTCCCGGCCCCTCGGCACAGGACGCAGTAGCAGGGTTTCTCCTAGGACGCCGCCGTGTTTATTTGTCAGCTAGCGGGAGGCACACATTTCAGCTCCCCTGGGCCGCTCTCGGGGCTTTGGTGTCAAGCTGAGGAGTGCAGACAGCACGCGAGAGGCTGGCGACACCAAAGTGACAGGCGGTCCCTCGGAAGCCAGCACGTAGATCCTTAATTAGTTCACACACTGACTCAGGTTTTCAAATGAATGAATTTTAATTACATCTCAGGTAGAAAAAAAAAAAATAGTGCCAGTGAGAGGAGAGATCAGGGCGCCAGCAGCTTTATTAAAGGGCTTTGTTGTTCTAGAAGCTTCCTAGCCCCCAAACACCACCACTGCTGCCAAAAGTGCATTGGGACTAAAGGGGAAACACACGCTACAAGTCTTAGGGGAGCTCGAACATTCAGGAAGAATGTGGCCGCAGGAAGCAGCGATGTGCCCTCCCTTGGCCGAGGGCCCAGGACAGGTTTGTGGGTGGTGAGGCTCCCGGCTGGAGCTTGGATTCCAGTTGCAGACGGGGGACGGAGTGGGAGGAAGGCAGCCCCCTCCTGCGAGAGTAGTGTAGTCTCTATAATGCAGTGGAGTGTAATAAAATAAGTATCCATCGGAAGTAAACTCAGTATAAATAATGAACTACGGCGGCAAGGCGCTGGCAGAGCTGTGCTGTCAGCTGCTGACCGCCTGCAGTCTCTGGGCAGGGGCGTCAGCCCCACTCCATCCCGGAGACAGACCCTCGGGGAGGGACTTGCTTCAGTCGCCCAGTGCGCGGCAGACGTCACCTTACCCCCTGTGTTGGAAGCCTCCTTCGGGGCCTGTGGGCCGGGCTCAGTGGGGCCGGGGGTCCTGGCTCTGCGCTCCGGCGGGGCGTCCTTTGGGTTCGATGTGCCGGGGTCAGAGCTGGGGGAGTTTTCCCCGTCAGGCTTACCGCTGTTTCGTTGGTTTTCTCCCCTCTTGCCCGCAGTACACCCTCAACGGCAAGAAAGTGGAGGTGGCCGTGAAGCACATCATCGCCGGGAAGCCGGTGGAGCAGCGTGGGGCCTTCTCGAACCCCGAGACCCTGGACCTGTACCGGAACATCCCCGAGCTGCAGGGCTTCTGAGCTGGCCCGCCCCCCGTCTCGGCCACGCGCACCTGTCCTGGGACTTGTGTGTTCCAGAAATGGCCCAGAAGCCTGCTCCTCTACAGGGCCACCTGTCGCGTGGCGAGGACGTCTGTCCGGGCGGGCTGTGTGGGGCACGGTGGGCTTGGGGAGTGTGTCTTTGCACACGTGCTCCCACGTGCACTCACAGAGGAGCTGGAGTCGCGTGTGCATGTAGTCACACCAGCACCCCGTCGATGTGTGGGTGGACCCGGGTTCTGGCGAGAGCACACTCCTGAGCAGCGACTGCCACAGCCCCTGCCGGGGGCTCCACCTCACTCTGCACAAATCCATGTCTTCCCTGTACGTTGGCGCCCCGGCTCTGTCCGTCGTCCCTCAGGGCCCGGCCACCTGCTGTTGCACATTTACGGTGCCCAGACGGGCCCCTCTGTGAGTTTACGCCATCTTCTTACAGCGGGTCATCAGGACTGGCAGCTGCGGCTCTTGTTGTGCGTGTGTGACGGACGGAACACACGCAGTTCCTGGTGGAACCATGTGTCGCACCCCAACCAAACAGCGCTTCCCGGCGCACAGAAAGCTCCCTCTGGAGACAGAGCGGGTTTCAAGCTTTAATAGGATCTCTTTACTTCGTGGACTTTGAACGGTTTAACGAATGTTTTACTGTTACTTCAGCCTGGTGTGTGGGTGTTTGAGGGGCCGCGCATCCACCCTGTGGGCAGTGTTGCTCTGGGGCGGCGGCCGGCTCCCCGGCAGCGGGTCCCGCGGGTCCTCTGGAGACAGAGCTGCACGGCCCGGGGCCCTGGCCTCGCTGCACCCTCCAGCCGAGAGCTCTTGGGACCCTCACGTGGAAATCGTGGTGTTGGTGCTCGTGAATCGAGTCACAGGGTCGACAGCCAGGTGGTTTCTGTGTGAAAGTGCAGCATATTGGCAAACTCCCATAATTCGAATTTTTGTTTTTGTATTTTTTTAAACTGAGCACAGTGAAATAGTTTTCCGAATCCTTTTTCTTCTAGATTATAAAACTGTCTAGGGGAAGCACTTTGAGGAGTTTAATGCAATAAACGTGTGCATATACGTGCGCACGCCCATACGTGTGCGGTGTGCTCGTGTGTTCTCTGAAGGACGTGTCTGGACCCATGGCCAGGAAGCTGCTTGTGCTGACGCGCCAGCCCGGAGCCGGGTCCCAGGGAGACGTTGGGTTCAAATGGTTGGGGCACTTCCCGGGTCCCTGGTATTTAGCATCAGTCCTTGGGGACCAGATGGCCAGCAAGCACTTCCCAGTGTGAAGCCACACGTGGAGGAGAATGACCTCGCCCTGTGCTCCCCCGTGGCTCGGAGCCGGTGGGATTTCTGGGCTGCAACTCTTGTCATTGCCAGAGCTGTTTGTCCCTTGGCTTGTCAGGCTGCAGGTCACAGGATCCAGGCTCAGCCCAGCGGGCTTCTCCTCCCCCGTCACAGGGCGCGGGGGCAGGCTGTCTGCCCGGGGTTGACACGGTGACTGTACCACGAGCAGCGCCCGGCTCCCGTGTCTCCCGTGTTCAGCCAGCCTCAGGTGAGGCTGCTGCGCTGCCAGCCTCGTGTCTGCATTCCAGGCGGGAGGAAGGAAAAATGAGGGCTGGCGAGAGGCACAAAGCCTGCCCCTCCTGAGTCCCCTTTTATCACCAAAATGGCGGCTTTTCTGGAAACCCACCCGGTGCACATCTGCTTATGCTCAGGGGCCCCATGACCACCACCAGCCGCAAGGAAGCCTGGGAATCTGAGGAGTTTTAAGCAGGACCTATGACCTTTTGCATTAGTTTCCTGTTGCTGCTATAATAAATACGCCAAACTTAGTGGGTTAAAAACAACACCCATTCATGACAGTTCTGGAGGCCTGGAGTCTGACGCCAGTGTCCCCAGGCTGAGGTTGGCAGGACCGTGTCCTGGAGGCTCCAGGGGAGAACCCGCTTCCTACCTTTTCCAGCTTCTAGAGGCTGCCTGCAGCCCTTGGCTGGTGGCCCCTTCCTTCGTTGGTCCTCGAGGCCTGCCCCGCCTCCCGCTCCACATACAAGAGCCCCTGTGATTCCATCGGCCCCACGCGGATAATGCAGGATAATCCCCCCGGTTGAACAGCTACTGACCAGCCAGCTTAATTCCACCTGTAGCCTTGAATCTCCGTCTCCACCAACGGACCATTTTCACAGGTGCTGGGGATTGGGACATGGGTGTCCTTGGGGACCATTATTCCGCCTCCCTCACTCTGCAAACACAGCCGGGGTCCTGCTGGTGACCAGGCAGGGAGAGGGGTCGGCAGGAAGGTGTGAGCCCTGAGCTGCAAGGACAGAGCAGTCGGGCCCCCCTGCTTGCTGGCTGCCCTGGGGCTGGGCTTGTCCTCCCCCGGTGACCAACCTGCCAGCCTCCCTCCTGCGACTCAGGTCAGACCCCGGACCCCCTGCATTCTCCTCTGGCTGCGTGCTTGGAAGCCACCTCACACCAACTGTGCCTGAGGACTCATTAAGGCTTCATCTCTGTGCCCTGTAGTTCCCCCAAGACGTCCCAGGCCGGCCAGGCTCACACGTCCTTACTCATAAGCTGCAGCTGACGACTTCATTAGCGGGAGACAGATGGTCTGGAACAACAGCCCCCGGACGCCCGCGGTGCCGGCCCTCCTGCGCTGTGCCGTGGCCACCACCTGCCGGCCAGCTGGCTTTCTCCCTGTGGTGATGGCCGCCTTTCATCTTGCTGCCGGCCCCTTCCCTTCCCCACTCTGTACGTCCCCCCAGCAGCTTGGGGAAGCACAGGGATCTCAAGGCGGCCTGCCCGGGGCTGCCAGGACTCTGCCCCGCTCCTCTCCCGTGGCCTGCAGGCCTCTGAAGCAGCTCTTCCTCCTCTGGGCCTGCCTGCCCACCTCCAGGAACTTTCTCGAGGCTGGAGGGCTCCTTCCCACTCGCACGTGCCCACCCTCACCTTCTGGCCTGAGCAGAAGGGGCCCTGGAACGGCGTTGGGTGACTGGATTCCTCCCATCCGCACCCGCTCCTTTTGTGCTGGCTCCTCCCACCGGCTTGCATTTGTGCCTGCCTGCTGGGTGCCCCTGACTTTGGAGCCCTGGAGGACCCCAGATTGCTCACTCATCTGACCCCAAGCCCCTAGCAGAGGGCTCAAACCCACCCAGGCTAGGGAACGGCATCTCCCTGACCTGCTAACCCGCCCGTCACTGGGGTGTAGGCGGACAAGAGACCCTTCCCCTGGGGCCTCAATCGCACAGGTGAGGGTCTCAGGGATAAGGGGCCCCACCACGTCCCCCGACCCTGGCCTCCAGCCTTCAGAGGGAAAGTCGCGCACACACTCGGGGGTAAGCTGTAGTCATTGGGGTGCAGGCTAAGCTGCTGTGATGAGCACCCCCACATCTGGCTCAGTCAGGAAGGAGTTTTTCTCCTGCAAAAACCCCGAGGTAAATGGGTGGACTGGTGCGTGGGGCGGGGGTGGGGGGAGGGGGTAGGTGGCTTTGCTTTGCAAGGTCACCCAAGGACCCGGTCCCCCCCATCTGGTTGCTGCGCCATCCCTGGTGTGGCGGTCTCCTGCACATGGCCGCTGGTGGCTCATGACATTCACCCTGCAGCCCCATCCATCCTGCTTCCGTCCCACAGCCCCACTTTGTCACCACGCACTCAACTGCAGGGAGGGTGCGCTCCAGCTGGTCCTCCCCCAGGGGCTGGGTCCTGCTGACCCGTCGCTGGAGAGCCAGCCTGGGGCGGAGGGCGTGCGTGCACGTGCGAGGGCGATGCTTGTTTGTGACTGCGTCTCTACCTTTCGAAAGTAAACCGTAAGGTTTGTGAGACAAACTTGTCGGGTTTTGTAACATTTTGGCCACGTGTGTGTATGAGCATGTGTGTGAGTGCTCGTTTCTGTCTGAACGTTCATATATGTCTGTGCATGTGTATATGTGTATGAAGGCATGTATTTGTGTGTGTGTGAATGTGTGCATGTGGGTGCACGCCAATCCCAAGTGCATGTCTGTCAAAACCCAGAGGAGCAGAGTAGTGGCCCTGACAGCTGCTGCTTCTGTTTCCACCCCGGGATGGGGCGGGACGGGGGGTGAGGGGGTAATGAACAACCCCAGTACCCACCTTCAGCGGCCAGCAGCACTGTTTCTTGTTCCCGGAGTTTGGGGACACCTGTCTGTGTCTCAATCAATAGCTTCTTCATGGTGTTCGGCTGAGCAGGGGATCCAGTACTAACTCATGTGTTCAACCACTGTACCCCGTGATTGTCACTGGGGCCAGTGTCACCCAGGTCGGTGAGCTCCTCTGCCAAGGAGCATCCATCTCGGGAAGGGAGGCAGATGGTTGCAAAGAAACAAGAGAACTGGGCGTGGTGGTCAGGGGCCTCTGAGGAGGTGACATTGAGGCACTGCCTGAGTGTGAAGTGGCCGCCAGGTGAAGATGAGGGGACAGCCAGTGGGCAGAGGAGAGAGAGCCAGCCAATGGCCCGAGAAGGGAGTGGACTGACCTAGAGGAACAAAAAAGAGTCGATTCTGAGAAAGTAGGGGCTAGGGGACCGAGTGGGAGAGGCAGGTGGCCACGTGCGGACTGTGGGTGTGGATTGTGCTAAGGGAGGCAGGAGGCCGTGGATCCTGAGCCCTGCAGTGACGTCCGTGGACGCGCATTTAGCAGGTGGTGCCTGGGTGGGGCAGCGGGAGGGCCTGGATCGGGCACCGGGCCGTGGGAGATGTCAGCTCATTGGCCTTGTCCCCCTCCTCCCCCCTCTCACCGTCACCCAAGCGCCGCAGGTGCTGGAAACACAGCCCGGTTCTGGCTCACGAAGCAGCAGGTGTCGGGCGCACAGCACAGCCCTCGGAGCCCGGGGCCTTTGAGGAGCTGCCCGCCTTCTCATGAGCACCAACTCGTTCTCAACGCCCCCTGCCGTTTTGTCCCCAAACCTTCACGGCTGTCACAGGCAAATAAGCAAAGCCCTGCGAGGACGATGTTTGGAACCCGGTGGGAGCTGGGCACTGCCCACTGTCACGGTCGATGGCGTTGAGCGCACTCCCGGCCGCCACAGCAGTGAGTGGACGGTCTCGTAATTTCAGTCGACGAGTCCAGCGGGGAAGCAGGAAGTTCCAGCCTAGGGCGCTGCCGAGGGGCTGTCGTCTCGGTTCCCCAGCTGTCCTTCCGATGATTCCCGGCCTGCAGGCCGTGGACGAGTGTGAAAGAGGGCTCCGTTTTAGGAGGGGCGGAGCACTGAAGGATCGCCTGGGTCCTGCCTGGAAGAGTTCCCAAATAGAATTTTAAAGAAACACGTTTGTGTTTCTGGTTCTGACCGTTCATGCGTAATGAACACAAAAGAGACTTCTATGCATAGACCAGTGGGCCACCTTGGGGGAGAGTCCACTCGGTCTGGGATAAATCCGTCTTACAAAATTGTGGTCCTCTCGAGGACCTCTCAAGGGTGGCATTTCCTCAGGAGTTGTGGCAGTTAAAGAAAAATGGCAGAACTTTTTGACACTTCTCCTGGTGGTGGTGGGGGCGTGTCTAGACCCCCTCCCCTTGAATTTGAGTGGCCGGTGACCGTGATTTATAGACTATGATGGAGGTGATGCTCAGTGACTTATAGGGTGGGGCCAGGAAGGCCGTGGAGCTCTTGGGGTCACTCACTCTGGGGGAGTCCCCCACCTTGAGGCCACCATGCTGGAGAAGCCACATGGAGGCGCTCTGGTCAGAAGTTCCAGCAGAGTCCGGCCTTCCAGCCACCCTGCCAGGGTACCGGGCACACGAGTGGAGCCATCTTTGACCCTCCAGACCAGCCACCTGCCAGCTGGCACCACAGAAACAGGAGAATCACCGGGTGGAGCCCTGCCTGAGTTCCTGACCCAGGGAAGCCCTGAACATAACCAAATTAGCTTTCATCTCTGCTGCTAAGTTCTTGAGTAGTTATGCGGCCATAGCAATCAGAGCAGGGCTCCTTTAAATAGGGCCGAGCTGGTGATGGGAACAAGGACGAGCATCGGGCGTAGCCCCAGGAAAGCTGGGGACAGCAGGAGCCTGCTCTGTCTCAAGGCGACGGCCATTACTGGGGAGCACAGGTGTCAGAGGGCTGCTTCGGAGCCGACTCGT